AATGAGCTTCGCTCAAATTTGCTCCAAAAATGAACGATCAAAGACCATTTTTTTAAACAGAATACATTCTTAAAAAATGGTCCCATCAAATTTTCTTTGCATGCGGCTTAGACTAATAGTTCCTCCTCAAGCAATTGAAAAATTCTGGAATATTTAAATGAAATTTTTAATCAGTCGAAATTGATCGAAATCGATTGAATCAAATCTCTCTATTGGTCACCTTAAAAAGTTATGTGTTAAGTCTCTTTAAAGACGAAGGTATATTGATAATGTTTTTCGGCTTAAAAAAGTGTCTGCATTTCAATTTGACTATGAGAAAACGAAATATAGAACTAAAAAGCATGGAAATACATGTGACGTCAGCGTAATCAGCACCATGATCATATGTAACCATTGTTTTTTAAACTTTATTTCCTGTTCCAAAAATGCATGGAAGGTATGGATTTTTCTTTTTGGAAAATCAATTAGAAACAGACGTACTATACCAATTAAAACAGTACTGACAACAAATTTGATAACTTAATAACTAGAAAAAGGTCCATTTGAGAAACTGAAAACGGTTCCGCCATATATCCAGCACTATTGCCTAGGCACAGAGCATCATACTCCTAAACGAGGTATGGATAAACTTCTGGCTTGGGACCATTTAGCCATTCTTGTTTAGGCTTGCTTCAGGGGTTATTAGTAGTTCTGGATGTCTTTGCTTCCAACTAACTGTGGTTTTTAGGGGAATCCATGGACTCTGGGCCAGAGTTCTCCAGGCGGAGGTATGTAATGACAAGCGTCATCTGACTTTGCGGTATCGGTTAGCCCGTAGAAATTTTCAACTAAAGTAAGTAAGTATGTTTTCAAATTATTATAGAATTTCTTAAGAATTTAGATGGACAAGGCGGTAGTGGCCGGTGCAAAAATCTGCCTCGCCACAGTTCACAGGCCCGTTTACTATCCTCTGCCAGATATATTCAGACACAAATCCCCATAACCTCCGCTTATATATTCAGATTCAAAAATATAGTAGGTCAGAAGGCGGACTATAGGCTTAAGTCATAACTGGATAAACCGTCTCCTTCATGAATATCATTCAGAAACCATTCTCTATATGACCGAGCCAGAGTTGCCTATTGATCCTATGACTTGTATTGTAATGAAAGGATGAGTTTCTCAAATTATCTACCCGGTCCTGTTATTATCGATGTAGTTCTCCTATTCTGAGATTGTCATTAGCAATGTACGAATATTCCCACTCCTGTAGAAAGCACATTTAGAATACCTGCTGATTGTGCCATTCCTTTGACAGCAGCGTAATCAAAATGGCATATTGAATGAATCATACCTTGAGCAGAACTATTCAAACGGTGCGCGGCGCAAAATGAATTTATCAACTGTGATCATCCATTTCACAATACAATAAATCGCTGTATTAGTGTAATGTTTCTGTGATTGGAAACAGTTTGGTCAAAAAATAGTCAAAATGAAAAGGAGATTGCTGGAGAGTGTACTCTTATTCAACTTAATCTTAATTCCATAAACGCACCTGGCATCAGTTGGTTTGTATGTGACATCGTACTTTTCCACTTGATCGACTTGACTGGTGCTCCAGGATACCCTCACAGATGTTGGATTCAGGAACATCACAGTTATATTTTCCGGCACGCCTGGGAAGCTCGTCATTGATCCTGGTAATATCAAAGTAATGAAAAGATTTTGAACATGACAGATAACCGCCGATCGATACAACCCAATCACTTCATACGTAGCCAACATTGGAATATTTATAGAAAGTAGCTATCTCAAAGTGATATTTTTTAACGTAGTCCTACCTCGTGTAGGTCGTTAGTCATTGTCATTTAAAATATAAATGTTTGTATCGGTTTGTGGTTTTCAAGTGATATGGTTTCGCACACAGATCTTGTGCCGGATAACCAGTAATGGGAGCCCCTCACTGTGACTGCTATATTTTTAGCAATCCGTTTCTTGTTGTTAGACCAGGGGATACCGTACATTGCTAAGAGCAGGGCGGTCATCATTTATTGGATTCACAGCAGGAGTTCTACCTCTGCTGCGGTTATGGAACATTTAGCCGTGGTCCACGGGGAACCCATACGGCGCGCGGAATTGTGACCAGGGCAGATGGAAGCAAAAGAGACGGTTTATTTAGTAGAATCTCCCAAGATGGGAGTAATTAGTAAGGTACGCAATGGTCATTTTAAAATTATATTGTCAGTTGTGCAGGTCGCTGGAGTTGGGCTTCCCTGTTAAACGCGCAAACACACCAAGAAACTGTCGATTGCGGGGGGGGGGGCGAAGAAAAGTAATGGCTTAGTGCAGTGCGTGTGTTCGTTTCTCTCTGTCTCTCTCTCTCTCTCTCTCTCCGTCCGGGGCGGTGGATCAGTTCTATTATTTATCAATTGCCGTAGAAGCACAAACAAGTCGTAGGGTGGAGAATGAGTACCGGGTAGTCGCTTGTGTTTTGGCGGGTGGACACTCACCCACCTGTGGGTTGTCCACGACCTCTAAGTGTATCATTAGTGTTGTCATGGGGCTAGTTACACCGCCATATCCAAGTCGATGCCGATGTGAAACGCAAAGAGCGGTGAAATTCGAGTATTTAAATGTTTCATTTAAATTTATACGTGAAGTTAAATGAAGACATGTCAGGGAGATTTCAAAAAAATTTAGAACTGGATGCGGACCAGAGAGCTGACTTGAATCTATTAAATGATAATCGCAATATGTGAATTGTTACTGTCGAAAGTTCGCTGCGGACTATCATGTAAGGATACGTAAAGTAACGACTCTTGTCATGATCTGCCAATTATACGAATTGAATAACAAGTACGTTTTCTAAGCCACATACAGAAATATTCTTCGTTGCTGTCAGGAACTGAGGAAAAAATAGGAAATATGCATAAAAATCAAACGAAATAATTGGAATAGAAATAGGGTCAATGAAAATCATCGCTTGTCTGATGTTCGAGCTGGTTTTTGGAAATTTTTTATCGGAGATGGGCGAGATGCAATTGGATTTCAGGAGGATGCGGGAGAAGTTCGAAAAAACACTCGTGTCGCGTCACTAAAGTCAATTTATTTAAACAAGTCACTTAGCCACAACAGTCACTGAGATAATTACTTATTAAATATAATCGAGCAGATGAACTAATGAAGCGAAGAACGATAGAAAAGTGATAGAAGATATAAATGCGAAGATCAAATAAAAGGCGTTCGCAAAAGCGAGCACGTGCACTGTAAACGGCCGATATGCAAATGAGACCGATTATCTATGCGATAGGCGTCAGGTGTGAACATCTCCGGGGCCCACACGGCCCAAATAATGGAGACATCGGACGGTAATCGGACACCCAACCTATGGCGCCTCAGGTGGTTGGGTTGATAGGCCACTTCTCATCTGAGCCGAACGGGATCATCAGCTGAGCCGGTCATGCGTGTGAGAAGGGCGAGCGTGTGAGTGCGCGAGAATTTCGGTGAAAAACCGAACAATTGGTCTTAGTTAGTAGAAATACGTCTCGTAGGCATATACAGGGTTTCCCAGAAGTACATGCTAATCCTATACCAGCATGTACAGGGATACAGGGACAGTGAGTCTGCGCCGAAAAGTTCTTTTCCACTTTTGGATCAGAAGCACCCCCCGCAGATGTTGGGGTAAATAGGAGAGCCAATGACGCTGCAGCGTTAAACGGCAGTACGTACATGTGGCTCCGCACACATGCAGGAGCGACGCCCCTTCCAGGCAGCGGGTTACGGTTTTACTTTCGCCCGTGGGCGAGAGAGCAGTATCATCGATTCTCTCTCTCGCTCTCTCGCATCACGCCACTGAAATGTTTTTGCAGTTATCTCTTAAACAAATGGGTTTTTGGAATTTTTCCATTGAATATTGTTTAAAATCAAACGAATTTCAACCGTTACAAATTGGACAGCCATCGGGAGACCTCGGATGACCTCGGGGTCAATCGGATTTCGGAGACACTAGACGAGCAAATCCCCCATAGATCGACACTTAGCATGGATATCGTATCGAGTTCAGACGTGTTTTCAGAATATTAACTAGTACGCTCAACCATTTTCCAAGTACATCAACGAGTATATTTTCGTGTTAGTTCGCGATTATTGCAGTGTGATTTCAACCTGTCATTATCAGTTTTTCAACAATTTAAGACATTCAACAATTAAACTTTCTACTCTTGTACACCGAATAAGTTCACGCGGTTTATACCAATTAAAGTACATCAACGTGTGGTTTATTTAAATCGTGTGTTAGTTTTTTTCAATCCTATCTTCGCACCCTTTCCCTCAACCCGGCAATATCCTAGCAGCTCACCAAACACTGGTCCTTCGAGCCGGATTGAGGTGTTAAGGACGTAGATAAGGAGAAAAAAAATCGCGTAAAGTGTGACTGACGCCAAGTGCGAGAATTAGTTCGGGGTTCACACGGGTCAGAACACGGTCATCAAGAGTTAGAGCGAGAAAATCAACCGAGCCTTTGTGTCGAATGTTTACAACCCTCGAGGTCATAAATTCAAACTCGAGACGTTTGCAAACACGGGCAGTGAAACCCGCCAGTGAGGAGTCAAAGTGTTCGGGAATCATCGGACTTCGTCGGGACGAGCCGAGGCCCAGCCGCACAGCAACAGGCAGCCCACCAGCAACTCAACGATCTAGAGCCCTGCCATACCATCAGCGGTAATCGAAGTCGATAAGTCGATAACTCCAGCAACCCAACACTTACCATGGAAGACTCCAAGGCACTCAACGAAGAGCAGGAGAATTCAGCCATCCATTCAGACAGTCAACAATCAGATGAGTCCATTCTAACTACCATTGATAATACGTTAGAAGAATCCAATCCATTAGCTCATCATAGCAAAGTTAATCAACCAGACTTTCCCATCAAGCAGGCATCGATCAAAACGAGAGTATCCATAGGAGAGCACCTGACTGCAGAAACGACAGGCCTGCAACGATTCCAGCTCTAACGCATTGAGATGCAACTAGAAACACTCACAAGAACTCAACAAGAGCTATCTCGAGCAGCAGAGAACCTCAACAGCCTCACGCAAGACGAGCTGGAAGGGATGGAAAGACTCATCAACGCAGATTGGGCGGAAACGCTCAGTGTGCATGCCAGCCTGAGCGAAGAGTTACCCCCCACCCATGACTATATCAGCGGAGGGGCATTCAGGCAGGCAGCAGATTTGAAGGTCAACTGTATGAGGATGATCTTCCATCAGATGGGAGAACTAAAGCAGAGCAAATCAACGCCAAACCCATCGACGCAAAGCCAACCTCACCAATTGAAGAGGATAAGCCTCCGTACATTCGACGGAAAATACTCGGAGTGGAAGCAATTCAGCGACCTCTTCCAGTCACTGGTAGGGAAGGATGAAACGATCCCTCCAGTGCAGAAATTGGTCAGACTGAAGGAAGCCCTCAAAGGACAAGCAGCAAGCCTCCTAGCTACCTTTACAGTCACCGACGAAAATTATGAGAAGGCATGGCAGAAGTTGGCAAGGAAATATGAGGACCCCAGAGTCATAGCACAAGCACTATTCAATCGGATCCTCAACTTGCCAAAAATCACCAAGGCAAACGAAGAGAACCTCAACGCCAACGCCGCATCAGTCCTCGAAACGATGGACCAACTGCTTGCCATGACGGGACTGGAAAAGAAAGACCTCTTCGAGCAAATGGCAGTTCATCTACTGAGAAAATCTCTAGATTCAGAGACCCTCAGAGCCTGGGAGCTGAAAGTTGGAACCTCCAAGGAATTCACCACGCTCCAGGAATTTGCAAACTTTGTAGAGACCTGTGGTAGAGGAATCAACGTTGGTTCCAAGCTCCATGCTAGCATAGGACACTCCCAGTTAACATCATCTCCAGCCCCTCAACGAAAGAGGAGTGTCCACGTCGCCGTTACAGCACAAAGCGAAGCAGACTCAACTAGAGGAGCACCAAGGAACAGCTGTGCCTTCTGCGAAGAGCCACATTTCATAGCCAACTGCAAGAAATTCACCGACCTGACTCCAGCACAGAGAAATGACGTCGTCGTGAGTAAGAGGCTATGTTTCAACTGCCTTGGTCCACACCTCGTCGCCAAGTGCAAGTGCGTGAAAACGTGCTTCACTTGCAATCGAAGACACCACACACTCATCCACGGAGGCAGCCCATACACCATGGACCCGCTCCCAGTGGAAACATCAGGACTCGAGAGAGTCATTCCACCAACAGTCGGAGCATCAAGGGCAACTGGATCTACAGAGAGCACGAGTGAGTGAATCAAAATATTATTCCTCACGCATCTTGAGCAATCATTGATCGCCTCAAATCATTAACAGCAGTCAGTAACAATCAGGTGGTCAAAGAGAACTCAGAGATACTCAACAAGGAGAGCAGCCAGCAAACAGTAGATCAACAATATGTACTGCTCGCAACAGCTCAAGCATTAGCACACTCACCAAAGGGGTATTCACTTCAGACAAGAATACTGATCGATCAAGGATCAGAAATATCATTTGTTACTGAGCACCTAGTCCAGCAACTTCAACTTCAACGAAGGTCCTCAACTCTAGAACTCACCGGAATAGGAGGAACAAATTCCGGTCATACGAGAGGAATTGTATCAATACCTCTCCAGGCAGTAAATGGGCTCCAGCAAGTTCTAATCAACGCCCACATCCTCAAGAAGCTCACTGTCAAGCTGCCGACATTCTCACTGCCATTAACAAGGATCGAAGCCATTCAAGGTCTTCAACTAGCCGATCCACAATATCTAACACCTGGACCAATAGACATCATCATCGGGGCTGACAGCTACGGGCGGATCATCGAGAGTAGAGTCGTCAAGACCAAGGACACTCAACTAGTTGGCCAACAAACAATATTTGGTTGGATCCTGTCGGGTCCACTCAAACTTCAAAGTTGTTCATCAACTAAGAAGCGACGCAATCACCACAAAATTGAGAGTCGTCTTCAACGGATCAAGTCCGAGCTCATCAGGGATATCTCTAAATGACATCCTCTACCCTGGTGGAAAACTCCAAGTCAACACCATGAACGTATTAGCCTGGCTGAGACGTCACGAATTTGTCTTCGGAACGGACATCGTAAAGATGTTCCGACAAATTCGAGTCCATGAAGATGATTGGGATCTGCAAAGAATACTGTGGCTCAACGACAATCAGAAAATCATCACCTACCAGCTAACCACAGTGACGTATGGTCTCAATTGCTCTCCATGGCTCTCTCTACGAGTACTCCAACAACTAGCAGACGACGAAGGCCATAACTTCCCAGCAGCCGTCGAGACAATCACCAAAGGCCGTTATGTCGACGACATCTACGGGGGAGCAGAATCAGAACATCAACTCAAGGAAATTGCCTGGCAGCTACAAGGGCTGTGCCAAGCAGGTGGCTTCGAACTTCAGAAGTGGAGCTCCAACTGCCCACGAGCACTCGAAGAAATCGGAGTGCAAACAAGTACATCACCCATCCAGTTTGATGAATCAGTAACCAAGGTCCTTGGACTGTGCTGGCATCAATCCTCAGACACATTCCGATACAAATCCAAGTCATTCACCTCAGGATCATACACCAAAAGATCAGTCCTATCAGAGATAGCTCAGCTGTTCGACCCACTGGGATTCATAGCTCCAGTAATCATCAGAGGCAAGATAATCATCCAAGATCTATGGAAACTCAAGCTCAGTTGGGACGAGCAGCTGCCGCAAGAGCATGTTCAACAATGGAAAAACTTTAGAGACCACATCAACGAGTTGGACAGAGTTTCGGTACCAAGATGGCTGAAACTCTCCCCAGAGGTCTCAAGCATCCAGATCCACGGATTCGCAGATGCTTCAACAGCTGCCATGAGCGCAGTAGTCTATATTCGAACCAAGAAGATCAACGAACCAGCATCAACAATGATGGTATGCGCCAAGACCAAGGTGGCTCCAATCAAGCGCATGACCATCCCTCGCCTCGAGCTAACAGCCGCAGTAATGCTAACTCAACTAGTGGTTAACGCACAAGAGATGCTGGAACAAAATGATACAGAGGTTCACCTATGTTCTGATTCAGCAGTAGCCCTGGCCTGGATCAGAAGCCACCCATCGAAATGGAAGGACTTCGTCCACAATAGAGCCAGAAAATTCCAAGAAGAACTTCCAAACGCCAACTGGAGACACATCAGCGGTAAAGACAATCCAGCTGACTGTGCATCCAGAGGAATATCACCAACAGAGTTAGCAGAACATCATCTATGGTGGACAGGCCCTGAATGGATAAACCAGGAACCCGAAGCCTGGCCGTTATCATCAATAGACACCCCAGAAGAAGCCTCAACAGAAGCAAAACCATCTCCAGCACATCCAGCAGCAGCAATCAGGGTTCATGCACTAGCAGAAATCCTCGAAAGATATTCAACACTAGACAAGGTCCTTCAAGTGACAGCGACACTGAACAGAGCAATCGATAGATTTAGAAGACAACCAACACCCCAGACGTCCGTACTGACACCAAGAGAACTCACCGAGGCCAGGCTGTTCTGGGTAAAAATAACTCAAACTCAATACTTTGCATCTGTTTTCAGAATCATTGAGAGAAACCGTCAACTGCCACGGACACATCCATTGGCAAAGCTGACACCAACAATAGACGAAGAAGGCATCGTCAGACTTGGAGGTCGCCTCAAGAACGCCAATCTAGATCCCGACGAGATACACCCAGCAATTCTACCTCGTCAGTCTCGACTCACCACCCTGGTGATGGAAGAAGCTCACCGCAGAACCCTCCACGGTGGGACTCAGCTCACGTTGGCCTACACTCGACAGAAATACTGGATCATCGGTGGCAGAGGCACTGTGAGGAACTACATCCATCACTGTGTCATCTGCACAAGACACCGAGGAAAACAGGCTCAACAGCAGATGGGCCAGCTGCCAGCAGTAAGAGTTTCACCAATGAGAGCCTTCTTACACACGGGAGTGGACTACGCAGGTCCCTTCCCCATCCTCAAATGGCGACCCACAAATGCAACACCAACATCAGTTCATATCGCAGTATTTGTGTGTTTCAGTACATCAGCAGTCCATTTAGAGCTCGTAACCAGGCAAACAACAGAGGCATTCATCGGAGCATACAAGAGATTCAGCGGGAGACGAGGCATCCCAGAAGTCATGTACAGTGACAATGCCACCACGTTTGATGGAGCAGCAACAGTACTCAACAACCTGTACCATCAGCAATCCAGAGAAAATCAACAAATTCAAGCTGCCCTCGCCACGAATGGGACACATTGGGTATTCTCACCTCCAAGAGCACCCCACTTCGGCGGAAAATGGGAGGCAGCTGTAAAATCAGCCAAGCATCACCTCAAACGAGTTCTAGGGCCGTCGACACTCACCTACGACGAACTCAACAGCGTCGTGATACAAATAGAAGCCTGCCTAAATTCCAGACCAATCACACCGATGTCAGACGACCCAGAAGACCTCCAAGCACTCACCCCAGGACATTTCCTGATCGGTGAGCCTCTACAGCTGATTCCAGAGCCCTCGTACATCAACAAAAATCCCAACAGGCTACAGAGATGGAATCTAGTCACCCAGAAAGTCCAGCAATTCTGGTCCAGATGGGCCAGAGAATGCCTGCAAAGATACCAGGCAATCTACAAATGGAATCAACGAGAGAGAAACATCAAAGTTGGAGACATGGTCCTGATGATAGACCAGGACCTCCCCCCATCAAAATGGCCAATTGCACGAGTATCAGCAGTTCACCCAGGAGCAGATGGCCTAACCAGAGTGGCCACAGTAAAAACAGCAAGAGCAATAGTACCATCTCTACGAGATGGAAGCCCAAACCTGGAGGGCGTAACCAGCACCAGTGCCACATTCAACAGACCTATCGTCAAACTCTGCCTTTTACTGACAGATCCACCATCACCAGAGGAACCTCCAGAAGACGAGCCAGAACCAGAGCCACTCAACTAATAAAATTCAGCAGAAGCTCAACCAGAAATTCATCATCCCGGATGATGCATGCCCCCGGGGTGTTTAAAATCAAACGAATTTCAACCGTTACAAATTGGACAGCCATCGGGAGACCTCGGATGACTTCGGGGTCAATCGGATTTCGGAGACACTAGACGAGCAAATCCCCCATAGATCGACACTTAGCATCGATATCGTATCAAGTTCAGACGTGTTTTCAGAATATTAAATAGTACGCTCAACCATTTTCCAAGTACATCAACGAGTATATTTTCCTGTTAGTTCGCGATTATTGCAGTGTGATTTCAACCTGGCATTATCAGTTTTTCAAGAATTTAAGACATTCAACAATTAAACTTTCTACTCTTGTACACCGAATAAGTTCACGCGGTTTATACCAATGAAAGTACATCAACGTGTGGTTTATTTAAATCGTGTGTTAGTTTTTTTCAATCCTATCTTCGCACCCTTTCCCTCAACCCGGCAATATCCTAGCAGCTCACCAAACAAATATTATTTGTTGCAAATCGAATTTGCGACAAAATAATGTTATGGAAAAATTTCGTAAGTCAAATCCGTTATTTAATAATTGCGATTAATTGTTTGATGGTTTTTTAAAGTTATAAAAAAAACGATGGGGCCTACTGTTACGAATCATTAAATGAACAGAGTTAGTGGAACTAGTTAGGTTGAGGAATTAAACTATATGATTGGATTATATCGAATGCCAGGAAATAATAAGACTGCTATATACGTAAACAGCACGTCTGCTCAGCTTGGCTTTAATATTTCGACTAAATTGTATTCATGATACATTTGGTACGTGGTTCGGTGTGTTTCCTTGTGTAAGTAACGAGTAGAAGACTCCTTGTATTTGTCAAATGTTCGACACGTACGGCATTTTTCCATCAGATAATTTCTGTTGCAAATTCGATTTGCAATAGACCCCCTGTACACGCTGGTAAAGGATTAGCATGTACTTCTGGGACACCCTGTATACTTTGGCGTATTTCGCACTCCGTGCAAGAAGTGACAAAAATACGCAGCGCTTGGCGACTAGTCTCAAATCGACAATTGCGAGGCGCCAGTTTTTAATTTAACGTCCAAGAACACAAAAGATCAATAACGAAAAAGGACAACTTCCTAACAGTCAGTATAACAACCTCGCAGGCGGTTGGGTTCCAATCAGTGTCCTAAAATTCGGAAATGGCTAGGTTATTTTAATTCAAATAAATTCGATAATTGCGGGATAACAATTTGATGAATTTACTGGCATTGAAATGATTTAAACCAAAATAAAATATCTGAAAATCCCCGACTTACTCTGAACTTATAATATTATAAGATTATGCTGTCCGCGGTAATCAAAAAATAACTTAAGTTACGGAATCACAAATGAATATTTTACATCAAATTCCCTAACTACGGGTCGGATAGTAAAATTACTAGTCGGAAATAATACATCAAGAAAGTTAAAAAATACGGGAGTCCGGATTCTAAATGAGTCGGTAAAACAGCTAGTAATTACGAAGTCAAAGTTCATATGGCGACGGAAATTACAACTACCATAACGAACGAGCGTGTCCAACGCAATTCAAGAGAGTGATGCAATCGAAAGGGGAAATGCCTCGATAGGACGTAACCAATGGCCGAGAGTAATCGAAAGCGTTACCGGCAGAAAAAAAGCAAATCTCGAGCGTTGAGAGACGCTGCAGGCCCGCTTTCAATTCTACAAAATATGACTTAATATTTGACAATTTTATCCGAAAATCATTGTGGCTTCGCAGGCCACGGCAAATATTAGGTTGACACGTCGAGGATAACAAGCCAACATAAATAATAATCTCGGTTTACATCCTGTCGCATAATGATCCCAAATAATGACAATTAAAAAATCGCACCCCGCTGTTAATTTGTAGTGAATTAATTTCAAGCTACGGACGCTGTCGCCACAACTCAGTTTTTCTAAGGAGTTCTCCAAATCCAGTGGGAACTCCAAACTCTTCTTCGACCCTTCTTGCCTTCTCCAACGAAGAAAGCCATATGAAAGCATCCGAAATCCCCGGATGAGTCCGAATGAGCGGTGAAACATGGCTGGATGCAGTGAAAAAATAATAATAGCATAAGCAGTGTCAAATGAATCTTAGTAAATGACAAACTCCTGCCTCGCCAATGCTTACTTCTCGTCTGGACATCTCAAAAACGCACGAACGGTCGAAAACAAAAATACTAAGTTACAATACATTCTTCTCCGGTAAACCTAGTAATTTGATGAACGGTACTGTTTTCAGAATAATAAAATGCAGAAAATCAATAAACATAATATTCATTAGCGGCTTGACATGAGGAAATTCTATGCGTTTCTCAACAAGCCCTATTGATGGTATGTTTATCGTACTTCAAAAGTTCATGGTTCATAAGATTCTATTAAAATAGTTATGGGGACAATTTCTTCCAACGACAAGAGAGTTATTATCAGCCGACACAAAAGGTGATAAAATAATGGTGCACGAAATTATTATGCCCGTTTACTGACCTTAAAGGGAGGTCAGACCGCTTTCTCAAATAATGAACAAATCTTGCTTTTGCAACTTTCTTATCTGAAAATCTTGATGTTTGGTCTTTTTACTTTCAATTGTCGACTTTGTAATCAATTTTTTATGAGTTCTTGATATTGTCTGGAACAGTAATTTTGCTACAAGGGGAACCAATTTTATAAAAATCTGTACCGCTGGCGCCCTGCGTCCTCTCTCTTGCTTCCTCCATGCCCTTTCAAAAAGTTGCGAAGCTGCTAATATGAGTAATAGAAACATCCATGATTTTTTTGGGCAGTTTTCCAGGTGCCAATTGACGGAAAAAAATGGGCTCATCGATCCCTAAACCAAGGCCTCGAAATCTGCACTCTGCATGCTTCACAAGTTTGAGGGAGCCTTCGATAATACATCCTTTGGAATTACGAAGAGGGGGCAGCGAAGACCAGCTCAGGGAAATCACTCAATCACATTCTCCACACACGGGGTAAGCTGCAGCGCGATATATCGGATGTTTTTCTATAGACTAGACAGCACAAGGTCATCTTCATGAAGGACATCACCAAGATCTCCCGTCAAATTAGAGTTCATGAAGATGACTGGCCTCTATTTTATGGAGTGACTGTAATGGAGGATTCTCATCATACCAATTGACGACCGTCACGTATGGGACTAGATCAGCTCCGTTTCTTGCAAATCGTCTTCTTCTCCAGTTAGCTGAGGATGAAGAGCACAGATTTTCGTTGGCCATCCATCCCACCATGAAACGAAGATATGTTGATGATATCTGTGGAGGAGCAGATACGCATGACCATTTCGTAAGAACAGCTAAAGAAGTTCGCAATTTCTGTGCTGCTGGAGGAATGTCTTTGGCAAAATGGCATAGTAATATTTCAACTCTACCCAGATGGCTCGACCCGGAAAGCACCTCCAATGATCAGAGTACATATGAGGACTCAGAAACTCGTATACTCGGACTGTCGTGGCAGCCCAACTTAGGCAACTTCGACTTCTCATCCAAAGCATCGCAGAGCTCGTCCGTCTCAAAGCTAATTATTCTCTCAGAAATTGCTTAACTTCACCATCCTCTCGGATTTCCCGCTTCTGTGGTCATCAGAGGGAAGATGCTCCGACAGGAAATCTGGATTGAGATGCTTGATTGGGATGATGAAGTTTCGCCTCAAATAGCTCATCGCAATAGCTTTCGTCAAGATCTCACATCGTTGTCCAACGCATTCATATCCAGATGGATTGGTCTGCTCCAGAACTCCGTTGTAGAGATACACGGTTTTTCAGATGCCTCGCAGCCCCCGCAGCGAACTGAGCAAGCCGTCGGTTAAGCACAGCTCAAATTGCATCGCAGCAACTATGGTGGCAAGGTCCATCATGGTTAAAGGAAAGCTCAACTTATCGGCCATCGATGGAACTCTCTTCAGTGGCATCAGCTGATTTTGAAGAGAAACCTGGGGTAGTGATCAATGTTAAAGTTCAGGGCCCAGAAATATGGGATTTCGTTCATTGCTATTCCTCGCTCATCAAGTGGCTCAGGATTACCGAAATTTGCCAACGTTTTATTGCTCATCTTAGAAAAACTCCAGGATCTCCGTTAAAGACAGCTCTCAACCCTGGTGATATTTAACAGGCTGGTCTCTTCTGGATCATGGCCACTCAGTCAACGCATTTCTCATCGGAACTGATGACCTTGTTCAGAGGGCAAAAACTCAGATTTTCTCATCCGCTGACGCGATCGACAACGTACATCGATTACCAAGGAGTTCTTCGCGTTGGTCGACGTCTCAAGTTCGCTCAGCTAGATAATGATAGCGAACATGCAGCAATCATTCCGAAGGAGTCTCAGTTTGTTCGGCTCATCATTCAAGATGCTCATCCCGGAAATCTTCATGGTAGAACGCAGCTCACTCTTGGTCAGCTCAGAAGATCTTACTGGAATGTTGGTGGTAGAGCACGAGTAAGGTCTTTGATATTGAAGTGCGTTCCATGCGCAGGACAGCGAGGAATAAGAGTTCAACAATTCGTGGGTCAGCTCCTGGTTACTCGTTCCACCCCTGGCCGTGCATTTTTCAAAAAATCACAAAAAAATTTTGTGAAAAAATGGCGCTAAGTCGACGTGAATCTGATCGCCTCCAAGACAGAAACAAGGGACAATTACTGAATAGTTAAAATCACACAGTAGGCGAACTGATTATGATATAATCTTATTTTCAAAAAAACATGGAAATATTAAAATATGCCAAGTTTATGCTGACAGCGTCTACTAGGACAATTTTCCGCAGTTTTAGTTCCGATTGGAAAATCGATTATTGTTAATCAAGGCTTTTGTCATTCCGGCTGTAAGACAGTGTTTTACGGCTGTGTTGCTTTGCTTCGCATCCACGAAACGCTGACAGTAGTAAGTGGCCAGTATTGGGGAATTTCCCACGCTCCCTCCCCCCTTTTTCCAGGAAATGGACGTGCACGTGCAGGTATGTCCCCCCTCCTTCCCCCAGGGGGCTATTGCGTAGAAGCGTGTCTAGACACGTTCATCCCTTTGGTCACGCCCTTATCGCGATTTTCATAATCAGTACATGACCGGTAATAGGCTTTCAGACTGGACGCCAACTTTGGTTTTTCCTTAAAAGATAGATACGAACAATAGACATCCGGTGGAATGTGGGCGGTGGGTGGGAAAGGGAAAAAATATCTAATGTACAGTTTATAGGGTTACAAAAATGGTTTATTCAGAAATTATTATTATTATTATCAGCTAGGATACATATTATTATTATTATTAATTTTAAGAGATTATTATAATTTTTATCAAGTAATTCATTAAGTTATAAATGTTTTATCTTTTAAACAACGTTGAATACCATGCAAAACACCTCTGCCAGATAGGCTCTGAAAAGGTCTACTTAAATTTTTACCCTTACAATTTTGCTATCCGTAATTTTTTTAAAGATAGATTTAAAGATGTCATGCGTAGAATTAATAGTGAAATTAAAGCAATTATTAACGGTACGAACATTATTTTGATGGATTTCGGGGATAACAAATTTATAGATAGTTTAAATTATTTCCACATGGCTTTAGCCAGCTTGCCAAAGGCTTTTGGGCTAGGAGACATAGCTAAAGGATATTTTCC